CAACCGTACTTTCCAGCCTAGCTGGACAGAGTAAGAGGCAAGAGAAAGGGGCCTGCTGGGTGCCTGGAGAGGCAGAACTGCTGTAGATTGTGCTGTGGTTGTTTCGCTCTTTGTCTTTGGCAGAGTTACTTCCCAGAGGTTGGGAGACAGGTACGTTTGCACGGCATGAGTACTGCTGCTTATGGAGCAAAAGGCACTATAAAGCAGCAATGAAGAACAAGGATGGCCAATCAAGATGGTAGGAATAACATGGAGAGCCTAAAGCATTAGCCAGGCAGGGCTTGCGACTAACCTTGTGTCATGGTTTAATCCCAGCCGGCAACTAAGCACCACGCAACCGCTCACTCACTCCCCCCACGCCCCGTGGGATGGGAGAGAGAATCAGAAGGGCAAAAGTGAGAAAACTCATGGGTTGAGATAAAAACAGTTCAATAACCACAACAACAACCACAACCACCAACCACAACCACTTGTAAGGAAAAGAGAAAAACATAAATGACAGAGATAAAAATAAAACCCAAGAAAGACAAGTGATACAAGTGAAAACAATTGCCCCCCACCAACCGACCGATGCCCAGCCAGTACCCGAGCAGCAGTCCCCCCACCAATCTCCCCCCCCAGCTTTATATGCTGAGTGTGACGTCATATGGTATGGAATATCCCTTTGGTCAGTTGGGGTCAGCTGTCCTGGCTGTGTCCCCTCCCAGCTTCTTGTGCACCCCCAGCCTACTCGCCGGTGGGGTGGTGTGAGAAGCAGAAAAGGCCTCGACTGTGTAAGCACTGCTCAGTATTAACTAAAACATCCCTGTGTTATCAACACTGTTTTCAGCACAAATCCAAAACATAGGCCCATACTAGCTACTATGAAGAAAATTAACTCTATCTCAGTGAAAACCAGCACAGTGTTCCCATAGCCTTCAGTTTGCTCCTTTGCTTTTCCTAACCCTTTTATTTTTTCATCTCCATGTTTTCCTTAAGCATTGTGCACAGCACTGTTATCCCAGACCGGCCATATTAGAAAGTCCTCCTGCACAGAGGGTTAAGAAAGATCTCTAAGCAAAAAAGGAGAAAAAAAATCTGGTAGTCATCTACATGCCCAACCATCAACAGTCTCCACCAAAAGATGCTGTAAATTCCTTTTCCTCTAAAAGGCTACCGAGCGAAGGAGAGAAAGGTCCCACCCGATACTTATTCAAACACCTCTTACAAACTAATCTGTTATGAATAAAAATCAAGATTCTATTAACAATAGCAGATAACTACTTACTTACACAACACATAGTGTCAGTGGAAACTTTGGGACAAGATCTGGAGGACCTGTGGCATGGCTGGGAGTGTTTCAGGTCTATGGGATCACTGCAGTCCCATTGCAGGTGACAAGGTGGATCCCTGTGTGGCATGAAGCTGGCAGGAGCCATGTCAGCCTCCAGTGGTGCTGGTGCCAAGCAGGCTGCAGGCCTGCCCAACTGGGACTGTTTCCCCTTATTGATTCTAATGACACCTGTATTAACTGAGAATAAAACATATTCAAGGGCTAGCTTGCTGCTGTTGGCACAGGGTTTGGGGGTGGTTTTGGCATTGACTGGGGCTTTGGGACAGGCTCCCGGGGATGTTCTGGAGTTGGTGATGATGCGGGGACAGAGTCTGGAGGCATCTGTGAGGGTGCTGGGGCGGGGTTTGGGGGTCATCGAGGGTTTTGGGGCAGAATATATAGGCGGTTTAGGGTCTTGCAGGGAACTGGTTTGGGGGGGGGGCTCTGTTGGGCCTTTAGCTGGAGAAGGGAAGTGCTGGCATGGTGTCAGAATGGGGGTCCCATTCCAGAAGGGTGCTTAGTGCATACTGATGCTACACATGCTTGTCCTGGTGCTGCTGGTTTCCTGGGGCAATGTCAGAGGCAATGAGTAACCCAGTGCCACATGCGGATATAGGCAGCCCAGTGACTTTGGGTCAGCTGTATGGGCTGAGCAGGGCTTGGGGATGCTTGTCATGGTTTTCAATTAGTTAGTGCCCTGGTTAATTGGCTCCCACAGCCTATGCCTCGGGGGTGGGAGAGAGCTCAGGGTGCCTGAAAGTGTCTGTTTTGCTTCTCCAATTACAATTCTCAAGTAATTAATTCACGGCTGCACTCCTTGTGCCTGACTGAAATCCAACCTTCAATCTGCTCAGTCCATTGGTCTTAAACCTTTTTGTGACTTCCCAGCACTCTAGGGCATACTTGCCACAGAAGCTGTCCTCCCTGGGATGCCGTGCCAAAATCCTGCTCCAGGGCCTGCCTGCCTCCCTGTACTTCCAGGCTGCCCGTGTCCACAGGGGCGAGTGCACACACCATCTGGTGCTGGGGAGGAACTGGGGCCTGAATGGTGATACAAGGAAAAGGGAAAGTCAAATCCATGCTCTGGGCAGGCCATGCCCCATGCTCCCAGTAAGGAGCAGAGCCCAGCCAGAGCCCTCCACCTCTGCCTCCCGGCAGCAATGGCCCCAACGGGCAGGAGACTTCCCCACCCACGTTGCCTGCAGCCACCTGAAGGGCCACAGTTACCTCACACGGACCCCTGGGCCCTTGGCACCAGCCAGCCTGGCTCTCACCTGCCACTGGGAGGAGGAACCTGCCCCACCTCGGCACCTTGCTGCTCCCGGGCACCATGCACGTGCCGGCCATGAATGCAGCAACAGCGCAGGAGAGTGAAGGGACAACA